TCAGAGAAATGTGGAACAATGCGTCTAAAATGGTCAGATGGTCACTTCTTGCCTGTCAGCCTGTGACCTTTCCTGCCGCTTCCCATTTACTATCTTTATCTTTTCCCCCCAGCAAGGCTTGGAAGGGAAATACTTTTCTTGTTAGTGTGGTTTACTTCATTTCGGAGCTTTGCCTTAGCTGAGAAGAAGGGGGTACAGCTGCTAGTACCGAGCCACAGCAGTGCTCCCCAGTGTGGGCAAGTACCTGTCTAACCCATGCTGTGGAGCATCCGTGGGACAATGCCATTATCCAACCACAGTGCCCATCAGACCTTGTCCATCACCCCCAGGCAGGGTGATCTGGCAGCAGTGCCAGCGCAGAGACCCAGTCACACTGTCTCCTATGATAGTGGGTGGCCAGAAACTGTCTCCCCTGGCTCACGCCCAGAGCCTTTACTTCCCTTTGATGATGCCTTCTTCCCGCTCACTATGCATGGGATGTTGTGCATGGGTGGATCTGGCCTTTAAATCCTGAACCACTGAACACACCTATGCACCTCTTTTATAACGCTGAGCTCTTTGCTAACAGCCTCTTTCCTCCCCTTCAAAGAGGGAACCAGAGACTAACTCTCAGTTGAGGCAGCGTTCAGCATCTTGCAGAAGTAATGCTCAGCAGAGATGGGCACTGGAGGCTGAGTGATGTGTCTGGAAGGCACGGGAGCAGCTCTACCCTGTTGCTCTTTTTCTTTCCTGGTCACAAAGATAACAGTTTTTGGGGAGGATCTGCCCAGAAGCCAGAAGGTAGTTCAAGATGTTTCTTTCCAGTGTCCCAATTTGCTATACAACCCTTGCCCATCCCCTGTCTGTGAGAAGATTGTTCTCCAAGTGCAACATCATTCTTTACTTAGGATAGTGGTATTGTACCATCATCCTATGTGGTCTGAGGGTGAGATCCAAGGGAGGCCTCACCTATACCTGTGGCAGGTGGGAAGCAACACCAGGATATGTCAGGCAGCACCCCTGTCCTCAGGACTGAGCATGCCTTACACAGGACAAGTGGCTGAATACCCCACACGGGCCTGTGGGGTGGTGGAGGCAGACACCCCACCATGCTGGAGACGGAAGAGGAAGAAAAGCCCTGTCTTTCCCTCCAGCTGGCCCCACAGGGACAGAAGAACACAAGCACTGTGATTTCTCACCACACTCCTCCAGGTACATCCCAGGACCTCTAAAAGACATTTATGCCGCTGATTTAATTCAGCTGAGTTAAACAAATATGATTAAAAATTCTTGTTAAATGTCAGGCTGATTTGTAGGAACTGAGATTAGCTGGCCACGTGGCAATTTAGTGGGAAATCAACAGCTGATTACTTATATTTGAGTGTCAGTCATTTTGTAGCATATCCTTATGAGCAGTAGGGCAGGAAAGAGAGAAACCAATCTCACCCACACACAAGAGTAGTAGTTTAACTTGCTAAAAAACATGTTTCTAGTGCAGGATAAGGTGATCAGTGCCAGATGAATTTTACAGTGCAAGTTCTGTGTCCACTGGGAATAGAATGTATCAAAATAAACATGTGCAACCTTTCTTCTGGAGAGTCCCTGGAGCGAGCTGGCACTCTGCCTGAATTACTTCTTTTCTGAGCAACTATCCGTTGTATGAATGAATGTGGGGGGGGATGTTTGTGCTGTAATTCTCCATCTGATAACTAAGCCAGGGGTACATGGTTATAACCAGTCTTTTGTTTCCAAAATGCCACTTGTGCCCATTGTGGGTGTGAGTCTTTCTGTGTATCTGTCTGAGTACCACCCTGATAGGAGTATGTGAGCTTTTTCCTTATTCCAGGTGGTTGCCATCTTTTTGAGTGATAGCATCTTCACTCCTTGTTGATGATACTAATGAAGCTCCAAATGTAACTGTCACTGTTAGATACTCCATCAGCAGGAGTTACATCATGTGGTGTCGTTACCCATAGGTTTCCAAATTCTCTTTGTTAGCATGAAAGGATTATTCAAATGTTGAGAAATCCTTGTGCCACTTGGGTTTTTTTATGTCGCCTCTTTGCAGGGGAAACGTGTCACAGAGCCATGGCATTTACTGCCTGCCTCTGTCACTGCAACAAGGCAGAATTGCCTCCGAAACCAGGCACTGATGGGGATGAGAGAGTAGGTTTCCAGTTTGCTATTTGGGACCCTCCCAGCTGAGGGACTGGGAGGAAAATGTAAAGCAAGCAGGTTGCACTAAGCATATACCTAAGCTCTATGCCATGGGTTTCTGCTCCAGATGTAAGTCAGCATCTGGTGTGGCTCCGGAGAGGGATGGCAGTAATGTTCACAGCAGTTGTATACTCTGCCATATCTATTTTATTGAGAACAATTTTCATTTCATATGGTACATATGTACTGGCAAACACTGTTAGCAATGCTGATGATGCTCTGGAGATTTTGCTGTGTGAGCAAACAGAAGCAAAATGACAATTAGATATTGTCTAACACTAGCAACAGCACAGCAGGTCCAGAATTTCATGTCAGTCAGTGAGAAACCTTGTTTACTGGAAGCTGGCCATGAATTGCTTTACAGATCTAGCCAAATCCTTGGCAGAACAGACCAGTTAGACCTGTTGCTCTCTCATAAGGGTAGAGGCTTCCCAGCAGTGTAATTCCTTGACAGTTTATAGGGTACAGCTGTAGAAAGTCCCTTTCCATTAGGTACATTGTGCCTCTCTAAAACAGCTGGGGTTGAGCAGCACTGATGACTGCCCCATCCACCCCCATCCTTCCTCAAAGCCACAGATTTTTCATCCTCATATTTCTGCTTTCTACTGGGAATCTGTTAAAACCAGAGGAGGCCTTGGTTCAGCAGAGGAAGACCTACAGGGATTCCGAGAAAATGACTTCTGCTGGCACTGCCCCATTTTGTTTGTTGTACCCTAGGTTCAACAAGGGTGCATGCAACAGAGCATTTTGAGCAAAAACCTAGCAAAGAAAGACATCAAACCCCTAAATTCTAACCCTTGCCATATTACTGATGCCTTCTTTATTCTTGAATAACATAGGTGACCATTCTGGTTGCAATATGTGAGCAAATAACAACAAAACCCCCTGAAATTTGTCACCATAATTTACCCTGAATTATGTGAAAACACATTTGTTGGGCTAGGAGTCTGATTCTGGGACTGGACAAATAGCCACCTAAAGTATTTGTAAAACACTGATAAATAAAATTTAACTGGGTCTATACATCTTCTTAGTCTAAAATATGGATTGTGACATGGCCGACTTGGCTGTTTTGCAAGGCCAAGTAAATATCTGAAAAAACATCTAAAAACTATATGGGATTATTTGTTATTTTGTTCCATATAACAGAATTCAGCAACTTAAATTTGACAGTTATTACTTAAAAAGCCACTCCCTCGGCCTTCGTATTTCCTATTTATGCTCTTCTATCAACAAGCTGAATGCCATGAAGTAGTACCTTTACCCTCCAATCAGTGACCTGTGGCTTTAATTCCTCAATACTCTTAATATCTGATAAAAAATTACAGGGTAGTTTTATGTCCTTAGGTAACTGTTGAGTAATGAGACAGTGGAAAATTGCTGTAAGAGAACTAGCAACAGAAGGAGGGAATTTATCCACTGTTCTTACTATCAATAAGTTTTCACTCCTGTTTTTTTCATAAAATGTTCTTTAAACAAGCAAATTTATGTGTGACTCATATGTGGAAAATACCATGGGCTTAAATAATGCCTAGCAATTAACTTCCCTCCTCCACCTCTCCAATTTTATTCATGTCTTACATGTTGAGAACTCATTAAATGAGAAACATTGATTTTTGAAAGCGAGTGTTATCATTGCCTGTCATTACACCGCTGCTTTGAAAATGATGCTTTGACAATATCCAGGGCTTGTAGCGGCATTGTGCTGCTGTTTCAGAAAATATTTGTGTGGGATGCAACAGCACACAGCTTGTGTGCCTGACATGGGCACAAGGTGCCATGAGAGGCTGCAGCAGCACAGAGCTTCCTCCTCAGGCTGAAGTGGTTACGGCTCAAACGTCACCTTCTCATAAGGCCACAGAGCAAAGGAGGGTGGACAGTGAGCTGGTGACAAGTGTTTCTGAGGATCTCAGCCTTCAGCTGGGCTGCTCTTGTATTGTTCCCTTTGCCTTCCCTACAGAAATTTACTTAATTTACCCAGTTTACCCCCTTTTGCTCTGTGGCTTTATGAACACATCTTGTGCTCGGAGTACTTTCTCCTTACAGCTCAAACTGCTGGAGCAATTGGACTATAAACCTGATGTCATGTCACAATATTTTGGTGAAGATTAGCAAAAAGAGTGATGGGGATGGTGCAGTCCCCACACTGGGTGCCAGCACTGCCAGGCAGGCTGTCTGTCTAGGCTATAGGAGGGTTTTTTCCCAGTGTGGCTTAGGTAGTGGGATTTATGAGGACATTTTGAATTTGGGGTTTAATTCAGTAAAGGTATTACTGTCTCTTTTGACTTCAGGTCAGGGCCCACTGAGGAGGACGAAGAGTCTCCCAGTAGGAAGCTCCACCTGAGAAGTCAGAGGCATTGGTGATGCCAGCTCATGCACTGGGGATGGTTTTGGGGGGAATGTGGCAGTGCTGAAAATGCTTTTTCAACTTGGGTAGACCCCAGGGTTCATCCAGCCTGCAAGTTTGCAGAGAGTAACCTCCACATGAAAATAATCCCCCAAGAAGTGTCTCTTCTTATACTATGCGGACGCACCATGTCTCATGTCGCTCCATGTTCCGTGCCTGGGAGCCTTGATCCCTGGCTGGAACCCTTAAGGATAGTATGACACTCAGGAATAACATTATCCACAATGGATGTTTCCTAAAATCGACTGTGGCATAAAGCACTGCTGACACATTTACCTGACCTGGATATCATCACTCTGTTATTAAAACGAGAATAGAGCGACTCTCAGATTAACGTGCAAGTAGAGCTAACAAAAAAAAATGACAGTATGTAATGATTCTTGCATTCTTTCAACAGAAAAAACTGCTTAGACAATCTAATGGATGAAGATGAGAAAGACAGGGCAAAGAGGTGAGAGCTTTTTCTTTTATAACTCTCTGTTTAACTTGTGATGAGCTTGATGCTGTTTGTTGCTGCAGAAGCTGTTTTATCTATAATCAATTAATCAGAGAGAGCAAGAGTAAAATAACAGCCAAGCACAACCGGAAAAACTGACATCTCACAGATTCCTATTATTTGCTATGCTGTAAGGAGAAAATAACACAGCAATGTTTCCTGTGGAAAATGTCAGAAAAGCCAAGGCATTGATTATTTTCTTCACATTACTGCAGAACACAAGAACTGAAGAACCAACAACCTATTCCTTCCACTATAACACATCATCTGAGCTTCCCCGGTATATAAAAATGTGGGCTTTTTACAAAAAAACATTTTGCAAAAGAAAAATAACTTAAAAAGTGAGGTCCCTATTACCATGGACATTTATCCAGCAATGCCTGTCTCACAGTAATGAAAACACCCAAAAGTTGCTGTCAGATCAGAGAAAGACCACAAAAAGTGTTGTGTCAGTCCTAAACTGGCACAAACCTTTATTTACATACATTCTGCACTCCATCAGGCCCCAGTTGGCGGGAAATTGTTGTGAACACTTTGTGGGGAGGGAAAGGGTGTGTTTCAAGGCAGAAGACCTGTGGCAATAAAACTCTTAATAACTGTCAGATCTAACTGGCATCTGCAGAAAAGCTGTTTGGAAGCATTTGAGGTGGGGTTTTGTTTTTTTTTTTTATTTTTTTGGATGTATTAACCATACTGCAGCCCACAGTTTAATTGCTTTAGAGGGAGCCATGGGTTGCCCATATTTTTCCCTTTGGTTCCCTCTAATGAGAGTATTTTCAGTCCAGGCACAACTAGTTGATCCAGTTTCATCTCTTTTGATTCCTTCTCCGCTTCTTTCCTCCCCGCAGCTTTTTCTCACCAATATAGGTCAGCACAGGCTGCAACCGAGCTCAACTGTTCCCCTTTGCTCCCTGCTCGGAACATGTGCATGCTCAGGCTGCAGGAGACTCAGCCATCGCCACCGGGAGCAAAGCGCTGACCTAACTGCCTCCCCTCAGGCCTGAGAGCGGTGGCCCACCAAGGCCTGGTGCCCGCCAGCCCCTGGAGCCTCCCTGCTGCCGCTCCTCACGGGGGACTTTGTGCCCAGGAGAGGACCAACACGGGGTACGGCTCTGCAGGCAGCTCTGCCCGGCCATCTGCCAGGCAGGCAGGCACCTGGGGCCAGGAGAGGAGGTGGATTCAGGGAAGGGATGGCTCCCACCACCACCTCACACAGCAAAGAGGTGGCTCTTTGGAGAGGGCGTAGCACAGCGGGAGGGGTAGCTCACACTTCCCCAGAGCTCCGAGAGCAGGGAAGAGGGGAACAGGGGTAGGGAGCCCACTGTGTATCGCCTTACGGCCTGATTATCTTAAAGATGTTTGTGTGCTAATTGTTTAAAAAAAACCCAAATGCATTAAATGAATGCATATAGGACAAAAATAGGGTAGCACGTATCCTCGCTATCAAGCGATTGCAGTCACCATCTGGTATGGTATTCATGCCGTTTGTTCCTGGAGGGAATTTTTGTCATACCCTGGGGCAGGCCTCTATCAAGGTGGATAAAAAAAACCCCTCTGAAAATGCAAAAAGGAAATTGCTGTTTAGAAATAAATCTAAATTTGAAATTAAGTTTGAAATCATGAGAGGCTTCGTGGAAGTCTGAAGTTACTACAGTATACCAAAGCCATCCAGATTCATTTAAAAGCTACAGATTTTCTTCCAAAGCTTTAAAGAGAGTCAAACTTGGGAGAAGCCATTGGCCAAACATTTAGCTTCTGTGTCTTGAAAACTAAGGACTGTCATCTGTCCTGTGCTGCAGAGGAAACACTTTCTTTGTTTTTTTCTATTTAGTGAGAGGACCAGGTTCCTCAGTGCTGAGAAATGCGAGAGGGGAAAAAAAAAAACAAACCAAAACCAGAAAATTGTTCTCTTCTTTCATTTGCTGTTAAAAGTAGGTGGGACTGGAAATTTCTGGATCTAACTCTTTGGGGATGGACCCAAGCTTTGAGCTAGGTTTCTCAGGTTAGAAACACATACACACACACCATTTACTATTTGCTGCAATTTATTAGGCACATACAAGTTGTATGATACAGACATGAGAAAAGGATCCATCCTCTCCCAAGGAGAGGCACCTGCACTCCCAGCTCTGTGTCAGGTGTTTACTGTTTGGCCAAGATGTATAGCTCTTCCTTCAGGACATTGGTTATTTTGAACCCCATTCTGCATCCTCTGACTGCCTAAGGCACTACTTCACTCCAAAGACCTGAGGACTAAAATATGGATACAATGGCACCACACTTGGGAGCATCGAAGACCTCTTTGAGGTCTTCTGATCTTCTGGAGATCAAAAACCATCATTTAATTTTCAATTCTTTGATGCTAGACGAGTCTTACTTTGTCTTATAGATTTATTAATTTTAAACAAAAGCATGCTTTGTGCACTTTTTTCTCTGCTTTTCTTTTAGCTTGCTTTAATAGTAAATTATTGTAAAATATTTTTTTTGCAACTCAATTGAATTCCAAATTGCAGACAAAACCAGCTTAAGTGCTTAATAAATAAGGACTATCACCTGCCATTTTCCACTCAAGTAAAAAGTAAATTTAAGAATCTGAATGAAGGTATGCAGTACAGTTACTTGCTTTGATACATATATGGTGTATTCCACTGGACAGCCAAAAGAAATCTGAAATTTAGTGTAAAGTCACATTTCATTGTAATTCAGCAATATGTAATGGCTACTAGTCAGCAAATATCAGTTTTTCTTTAAGACAATAAGAAGCAGATATGTAAGAGAATGAAAATGGCTATTTAGAACACATTTTAAATGGGTGGTTTTGGTATTTCTGAATTCAAGCTGTCCTGCATTGCCTTTAGCTGTATTCACTCAAAATCCGGATTTTATTCATACTGTGTCTCCTTCTTCCCCATGGATATGCTGTAATTTTTTGGAGTAGTGAGGAGGGAGGAGAACTGGGATGAATAATTTGGAATTAAGACAGAGACTGTTTTGGCTTACTGTAAATGATATGCCCTAGCAGTGAAATAAGCAAGTCTAGGGAATAATCTTCCAAAGGAAGTGATGAAAACTGCATTATTTAAAACATTTACAACTGGACTGAACAAAGCATTTACAACTGTGCAGGGATAGTTTAAACGACCTAATTGTGGGGGTTTTCTCATTTTTTTTCCCTTTTTAAGATTTTACTGTGATCATCGATCCAGATCTTGGTAGAGTTATTTCCACTAGAGGAGTTTTTATATTTCCTTTGTGAATAAAATGTCAAGTGTTAAAAATAGATTCTTTGTATTTCTATCAAGGCATCTTTAATTTTTTTTGGAAAAAGCAACACTTTCCCTATAGACAGTTGGTGTTTTATTTTAATTTCAGGGCGATCAAGACCCTTTGAGCTTAAAATGAACCAAGGATTGAATTATGAGGAAGTAAAATGTTGATGTTCTTAATGTCCCCTTGAACTGTACAGAAATAGGATAAGGCTGGAGCTTTTCACATCTTGTTCTGACAGCCTTTTGCACTGTAATAAGAACAGGCTGAAATCAGTCAGGCAGTATCCACCCAATCTCTTGTGTTCAAAGCTGTAAAAGAATCAAGTGTTGGCTTCTATCCAGTATATCTCCAAGTGTGTTCAGGGTTGAGAGCAAGACAAACAAAAATTACCCCTCTGTCAGTAGTAACATCCAGAAGCTCTGCAGTGATTTCTCTGCTGAAAATGTTTATTGTTGTCCTGGTCCTTGGGGGGCGGATGTAGATGCTGGGCTAAATTTTGCTTTGATTTTCAGCAGTGTGCATCCAGAGCTGTTCATGAGGTACAACAGAATTAGTTGGGATGGAGAAACTCCAAGTGAGAACCGGCCTCTTGGCTTTTCTTCCCTGTCTACATGTAACCAGATTTTTAGATATTTACGTAATTAACAAGGCAAATCTTGTCTGCTTGAGGACCTTTCAGAAGAACAAACAAACCTTTTGGGTTATATTTATTTCTATTTTCACATGGCTACAGAAGTCTAGGTGATAGCCTTCAAGTAGAATCATTGTAGCATTTGTGAGAACAATTCGGAAAACACTTGCTTGTGTATAGATTGACATATAAATTTTTTTTTAAAAAATGAAGTGCACATGCTGGAAAGATTATCAACAGCCTTAATGACAGTATTATGATGGTGCCAAAATACCCCAAATGAAATCAGGTCCTTTCTTCCTATGAGCTCTTCCAACACAGCAGCAGAAACAGTCTCTTTCTGAGGGGTCTGCAAGCTAAACAGACAAGACTGGCAAAGAAAACTGCAGAGTCCCTGTTTTACACCTAAAGAGTTGGGGCACCGTGACCTTAAATGATTTGTCCAGTGGCACACAGAGATTAGGGGCAAGCAGCAGACCCCTGATAGCACTTCTGCACCCCAAGGTCCAGGAATGCATCCCAGTCTGAGACCTGGTCCATGCTGGGATGAGACATGCTGTTGTCCTCCCTCCTTTTCGCCCTTGTCACCTTGGAAAGGAGACTGAACTAGGTGGCATATGAACTAGATGGGAGCTGCAGCAACATCTACTCAGGTCCCTTAATGGTTGGAAGTCAGATTCCTCTCTGTAGGCTAGCTTGGAGGTGGCCAGAGGACCTGTGACCAAAGCAGGCAGGTCCCTCTAGGTGGCTCCAGCTCCAGTGCAGTGGCTGAGCTGCAGGGCTGGGGTCCCTCTCTCCTGTTAAGACTGCACAGATGGGTATGACCCATAGTTTTACCAGTCCCCACTCTTCTCCTTTATGAATGATTTACTGCTGTCACAGTATTCCTATTTCTTCTTGCTCTGAGCGCCTTCTCAGAGGCTGCATGAACTTTCAAGATCCTGTACATGCCAAGGAGATGGACAGAGCTCCTTCACCTACAGGCTTAATGCTGACCTGATAGACTTGACTGGAATGCGTAGAGGCAGCACAGAGGGTCAAGCAGAGCCTCCATCTCCCCGCTGGACTCTAAAGGGGGCCCAAAGACAAGAGCAGGAGATAGGAACAGTCGCCTCCTACTTGTCTCTGCAGCTTTGCTGGAGGCCAGTGTCAATCTTCGCATGCTGAGGCACACAGGCATCTAATTTCCATGTGTATACACTGCACAGAAGAGGTACATGATGATTTTTCCTCCTGATCTGCTCATGCTTTTTTTCCCCCTGTCTACAGGGCTTCGCGTAACAAGTCTGAGAAGAAGAGGCGCGATCAGTTCAATGTTCTCATCAAAGAACTCAGCTCCATGCTTCCAGGCAACACCCGCAAAATGGACAAAACTACTGTGCTGGAAAAAGTCATTGGCTTTCTGCAGAAACACAATGGTAAGATTTATTGCAGCTCTTCATGCACATTGCCAGACAGTTACTACAATGTCCTGTTTCCTTCAGTGATTATCAGAATTGCTCAAGGGGTCTAAAAGTGCCAAAATAAAGGTGGGGTTTTTCCTATCTCATCAAAAAAGATCATTTCCAGGCACTGTGCTGCCCAAATCCATCTCCTTGGCTGCTCTTTAGTTGAGGGTGACTCTCAACCTGCTAGACAAGGGGACAAATGTCAGGAACTGAGGGAAGGCAAACAGCAGTGCCCTGCAGCACCTGTGAAGAAGAGGGATGCTTTGAACAAGAGAGATTTGGGGCCAGAGGGAGTATTCCCTTCCTTGAAATCTGCAATATTCTGAGCAGAAGAACAAAGCTTCTCTGCAGAAAAATGAAGGGAAGCAATCTGTTCCGTCCCCTGCTCCTCCATGGACTGTGTAGGACTCCGTTTTTCACAGTGAGCAGAAAACTCAGACCAGAAAAAGCCCCAAGTTTTTAAGTCAGTTTCGGCAAATTGCACCCACAGATAGCTGGCATGCTTCACCCAGTTTGCACAAGCAGAAGCTACATCACATTTGCAGAACATGCAGTTGCAATAGTAAAGTTCAGCCTTGGAAAGCCAGGAGTTTATTTTTTAAAATTCACACAGTAGTGACAGTTAAGTCCCTTAGACATGTGCCCTCACAGAGGACAGAGGAGATTCCTGACCCTGCTGATCTATTCTGGTTGGTCTAGTTTCCAGTCGATGAGAGGGGCATGCACTGCAGGCATGGACATCCACCAGCAGTGGACAACTGAAACCCTTCTCCCTTATAAATCAGAGCACTGGTTTAAAATGGGGCTCTCTTGCTCTGCCTCTGTGAGGAAGAGGCTTCAGTGAGTGACTGTGGGGGGCTGTCCCTGGTCCCACAAAGCAAAAAGGGCTCTCATGAGCTGATGTACCGCATCACCTGTGTTGCCTGTGCTCCTCCAGCACCTCCCACCTGTGTTCCCTGGAGAGCTCTGGGTGAAATGGAAAAGATCATAAAAACTCTTATATCATGACTCCCAACATAACAGAGTCACAAATGTCAAATTTATTGAGGAAATAATTATAGTGGCTCTGTTGTTAAAGCACAGTTTCTCCTTAGATGAATTTTTGCCACAGACAAGATGATTTCATACAGGAGGGCATGACTAGGACATCTCAAAGTTTAATAATTGTATATACCTATTAAATAATGACAGTAATAACTTTTTCTTTAGCTGCCCAAGGCAGAGTAAAGGAAGATGTGAATATGCTCAATTATAAAGCCAAGCAAAGAACAATCACATGAGATTTGAATAAGTGGAGATAAGTGTAGCTGATAGCCCAAATAATTTGCTCCAAAAGGCACTTCATATCTGGAAGAACAACTAGGTAAAAGAAAGCTAAGAGTCACAAATCCTTCCACAGCAATTGGGTCAAACTGTGACTGGTTTTTGTGCACTTGCTAAAAAAAGTGAGTGTTATCTATTTTTAAACTAGATTAGTAGTCACACAATATAATACAAAGCATCAGCATTTAAAAATGTTTATTATCAGCAGCATACTTTGCTGGATCTGGTTTATTCAATGGTATTCATTTAGTAGACTAAACAAAGATTTTAATTATAATGGAGGAGGAGGTCAATTTTCAGATTTTTATCTTCATAAACAGCATCCTTCTTTATAATCCACAGAATCTCCCAAATCTCAAGTAATTTTAACAGTCACTGTTTTGTGTGTGTCAGCTTTTCCAAGCTATGGATCTGCTGAAAGTTTCCTATATTCTGAAACTATATAATAAAAATCAGGCTGATCTTTTTCCTTAGTCTGGTTTTTAAACCTCCGTGTAAGACTGTGGGGGCTGTGGAGAGCCGCCACGCTATCAGTCACAGCCCCCAGCAGTGCAGAAAGCGAGTCGAATAAGCTGGTAGAAGCAGACAGCTGCATCTCCACTAATAAAGCCTGAACAGAGGCTTTGATTTCTTTCTAGGCGACAATATGCACAGGCACTGGTATAAATTTACTGTCTTTAATATCATTTAGCCATTTGCATTTCTCTGGCCAGTTTGCCTATGTGCTCCAAATAGGGGGTGTTGGGTATTACATGCTCTAGAAGTCTTAATCAGTAGGATTAATTAGGAAGCAGCACTGGAAGGAGAAGACAGGCTGCGCTCAGCATCCCCTCACTACTAGAACTGAATGAGGGAGCACTCAGACAAGCAGAGCGAGCAGCAAACAAAACCAGCTCAAGTCTCTCTAAACTATAAGATCTATCCCCCATAACCCTGTCTGACTCAGGTAGAGCTAACATGAGTGGCTGCTTTTGGAAGGAAACGACCCAGCACAGTACACCCAGCTACCCCCAATATGGTCCCCAGTTTCAGTGCGAAGATGTGACTTGTTACTCCGGTGTCCCTGCACCCATCCATGGAAAGCCCTTGGGCAGTGAGCATCCTCAGGCTGCTGCAGGGCCAGGCTTCGCCAACAGTGGTGCAAAACCCCCCTGGTGTCTCACACAGCAGTCATCCTCACAGGCTGACAGTGCAGAAGACCCTCCTCTCTGAGCAGGATTTGGGATGAGATGCCAGTGCTCCAGTGTAAGGCTGGTGCAAATGCTTACGTTTCACTCACATTTTGGAGAACGGAGCAATAACTGCTGTGTGGGGTCACAGCCCTTTGGGGCTCCTCTGAAGGAGTTTTTTTGCTGCTCCGAATTTGGCATACAAGCTGTAGGCTGAACCCTAGCTCTCTGGCACCCCAGTTTTGAAGCTGTAAATTGTAAATATCAATTTGACATATGCTAATCCTTGCCTTGATTTTAATTTCATGCAAAGTGGTTTTATCTTTTGATCAATACCTAAGTAATGCTGATTGAGGCCAATGGCTATGTGAATACAGGCTCCCACTAAAGTCAGTTCAAGTTGAGCTGAGTTAAAAATGAGGAAAACATTGCAGGATCAGGCCCAGTTTAGATAGTTGTTACTGTCTCTGTATGCAAAACTCATGCTTGAAAACTGCATTCTTTGAATATAAAGATGATTTCTGTCTTTTAATAGCAACTCATATATAGTCTTGCAAGATACAAATTTCTTTGAATTTAAAACATTGAAATGTTTTATTTGTCTAGAAGTCTCAGCACAGACGGAGATTTCTGAAATTCAGCAGGACTGGAAGCCTTCATTTCTCAGCAACGAAGAATTCACGCAGCTGATGTTAGAGGTGAACACGCATATATACATTTCCTAATTTTGACTAGCGATCATGGAAATGCCCATGCATCTAGAATAAAATGTCATCTGCAGTTCCAAAAGAGGAGGTTTCAGGTACTGCTGTCTTTGACCATCAAACAGAGCTGTCACTGGGGCGAGGGATTAGAGTCCCCATATGTGTTGCTTTTCACTCTCGATGGTGCCATTGCACCATGCTGCCGCAGCCTGCAAAGCTGCACAGGGACTCTTAAGAAATGCAATCCAGGGGAGAGATTCAAATCACAGATTACATTTCATTTTTACAAACAGAGGTGAGGAAAAGGACACACAGTAGTTTTTCTCGAGTTCTTGGAAGACATTATTATTACCTAATATTTATGCAAGACTGGCACCTAAAAAGCAAGTGTCGCGTCCCTCTAGTGCTAGGTGCTGTACAAGCAGATAAAACCTGACAACTCCTCTTGGTTTGATACAGTTAATACTTCCACTCTAATGATTTTCAAGGCCCTTATCAAACACTTTTTATTCTAACAGGGAGCAGGGTTATTTTGCAGTGATAGTTTTTAAATTACCTTTAAATTATACCATAGGTGCTTTTAACACTAGCTGGGATTTGAAGGGAGGTGACTCAATGGCATTTATGTAGGTTCGAGATGAAATGCAAATGAGCTGTTAAAATGTATTTTCTTCTCTCAGTAACAGCTAGAACCCTCTTTATTAAGGATCTTCTCCCATACTAAGCATGTGGAGATTGTATGGCCATGCAGTGTCCTTTGAAAGCTTCTCCTCCTCCCACAAATGATGTGAATGTGGGGCATAATGCAGGCTCTGGCAGAGGGCAGAGAACAATGCTGGGGAGCAGCTTGACCCACCAAGGGGTGGCATGAAGCCAGGGCAAGTTGCTCGCCCCCAGGGTCTGGAGATCCCTTGGCCATGCAGTTTGTTGTGAAGAGAGTCCCCTGGTCCAGTGTTATGAGACGCTTTGCTTCCCACTGACAACCACCCATTCCCATCTCAGTGCACAGGAACATAATGTACATTACTCCAGTCTGCATTGAAATATTTCCCTCAGATAGCAATAAATTGGCAGTTGTCTTGACTGGCTGAGCCTTTGTTGGTTCTACTTATATGCCACACAATTTTAGATTAAAGCAATTGCTTTTAGTTTCCCAGCTTATAAATCACCTTCTTGCTACTGTGATTTTCTACGCCCTTCAAGATAACACTGAGTATTGGGATGTCCTGTTGAGCCAGCTGTTCATCATTCTCTGCTTTTTTGCCTTTCTACTAATCTTATTTTATTAACATTTGGACAAGACTGCTTGAAGTTTTTCCTGTCCTGTTGTTAAAAGATGGGGAGTGTTTTTTCAAGCACTGATTTAAAAGAATCAGAGCATAATTGACTGTGATAATACATCAGCTTTCCTGAAAATGGCCTTTTCTTACCCCATTGAAAAGGCTATCATCAAATTACATAAGTTTGTCCATCTAGGACTGTTTCAGTAGTGAAATCTTTGAAGAGGGCTATGCCCTCTTAATGTTGGTAGGACCAGTTGCAAGTAAATAAAAATCGAATTATGTATGCATACATTAACTTGATTTTACCACAGAATTCTGATGTGAGTCACTTTGTATAATTTGCATTGGATATGAAATAAAGACTTGATTTTAAAAAAACCCAACAACCTTCACCATAGTAACATGCACAATCCAGCTGTCTTGTAAAACCACTGCTCTCTTCTATGGGTTAACAGCTATCATGCTTTTTTAGAAAACAGCTTGAATGTACTACACTAAAGAAAAACATATTCTCTGCACTTAGATTAACAAAATCAAACTAACTACAGCAGCTGGAGGGTTTTCAGAGATGCTAAACGCACGCTTTTCTACTGGGGTATAAGTTATTGACCTGCTTTTCAAAGGATTGTAGCACCAGCAGATTCCCATTGACTTAAATAGTTGTGGGTGCTCTGCATTCTCTGGAAAAAGGAACATATGTTTGTGTCTTTATTCAAGGCTTTGTGTTTTCCTCTTTTTTTAAAAAACAATTAGCATTTTCCAGTGCTCTCAGAATTCTTTCCCTTATTGAAGTCAGAGGGGTGGAGGGGGCGGGGAAGGATGCTCTGCGACTCACAGGATCAACCACTAGTCTGGCTTGGAGGCATGCCTGGGTTTGCAGTAAAGTTTTGCGATGCCATGGCACCTTGATCAGGCTGTTTGCAGTACACCTGCCTCCGGAACAGGTATTGCCTCTGGAGTACAGTTGAACTCTGCTCTGATTTAGTCATGCTTGCAGTGCCCATACTGCTCAACTACTGCAGGCAATATTGACTCCAGATCACCAGTGAACTGACAGAAGGGACCCAGACATGATTCACTTGAAGGCATTGAGAGCTTCACCAATGACTCCCTAATTACAATACGGAGGTTTTAATATAGTCTCTGAACACTTACTTTTGAGTCTTAATTTGGGGAGGGAATCTGCTCACAATAGGTTGTTTTAGATCTGGAAATCTACTTAGATTTAAGTTTGAACAACATTTAGCTCAAAACTTTGCATCTTAGACTAAAGAAGAAACTGATTTTGAAGGTGAAATTGCTCCTGTTGAGAGGATGGGGATAAGGTTGACATTCCCCTTCAGCCCTAGGAGTGAAGGGATTTACCACAAGGTGGGACCAAAGGAAGAAATTGCAGAAGGATGCATTTTTCTTGGAATGAGTAATCTAATATCATGACCTTTAAAATAAATCACTCAATTAAAACTCAGGCTAAGGATTATTTGATCATTTGCATTGCTTTTACTTACATGAAAGCCCAGTAATATACAACGTTACATTAATACAAACTGAGATTTATGGGGTTTGCAGAGAAGTACCATTTTCAGATAGGACCGCATCCTTTCATCGTCCTTTGATATTTACACAGAGCTCAAATGTTCATTTTAATAACTTCCAAGGGATCCAGTCTTAGTCATTTTGAATTATTAAAATGTGTGATTAATTTAAAAACTGAGACATGAAATGTTCCTGTGAGCCCTTTGTTGCTTCAATAGTAGGTTTTACTAGACTACAAAGAGTGTTGTAGAAGTTAAATCAGACTGTAAAATCAGAGAATTACTGTTCTGCAACTTGAGATAACGTTCCTACAACTCAATAACAATATGGTGCTGAAGTCAAACTGTTTTGATCAACACACGATGGGATGTCCTATTTACACCACTTGTTCCCATTAAAGCACTCTCCACTTGTCTGTTTTCCTTAGGCATTAGATGGATTCATTATAGCAGTAACCACAGGTGGAAGCATCATTTATGTGTCTGACAGCATCACACCTCTTCTAGGGCATTTACCGGTGAGTAATTCTGGCATTGGCTTTTCTACTACACATTGCAGGATCAGGCCCTGCATTTTTAGAACCAGGCGTAAAGAGCAGGGGCAGGGAAGGAAGGGTGTGTGTTCTCCTGCAAATGAGGTGAGGGGTTTTGTCCCTGTGCTATGCTGGCAGCTGCTGTTGATCAGCTCTGTTCTCTCTCTACCTGATTCATACCCTTCAGGTTTTTGTTGCTATGAGGCACTTCAGCTTGAATGGAAAAAGCTCTGCAGGAATACTCTGGTCAGGGAAGGGACAGGGTGACCTGGCTGATCTTTTCCATCTCTGATTTCTAAGCTAGCAGAGAATAGCACCAGTGCCACTGGCAGCCCATCGAGGAACTTGTTAAGGACCTTATTCTGCTCCCAGGGAGGTAAACGACAAAAACCCCATTGAATTCAGAATTAGCTGGGGGCTGCTGCCGAGCTGTCCCTGCAGCTCAGCTGTGCTTTCCCGAGAGGAGCACACCCCACTCCTGGGAGGTGCTGGTGGACCCGATGCTCGGTGCTTGGATTCAGCACATAGGGCCTGTTTTATCAGCGGGCTGCTGGGTCTTGCTGTGGGAGACACTTGTCTGTGCGCTCACTTGGGCTGGAGGAGCAGGGGAGAGGGACCACTCTGAACCCTGCTCCTGTTGCCAAGGCTGCTCTAGGAGAAATGGCACAATAATTAAGGATTAATCATCACACTCATTTTAGTAGCTTGGTCTCAAATAAATATATGCCCAGGAGAAAAAAATAGCTGCCAGATCATTATTGTACCACACCCCCTGCCATGTTCTTAGGAAAATTACAATTCTTTTTCTCTCATTTACTTTTTCGCCAAATGCGTGTTATGTTTTCCACTCAGACAGATGTATTTCACACACACTACCTTGCTGTAACATGAACAAAAATTATTTCCTTCTGAGATGAAAGGAACCTGATGAAAGGCTCCTGGTAAATGCAGGAATATTGCTATGCAACAACAGATCGAACTAAATCTACCTATTTGATTTTTCTTTAATCTTCAACAGTTGAGAAAACCAGTAGTTGACTGTCTTCTGACATTTGCCTTCATTTCAGCGAGAGCCCTGTCCTGCATGCATGCTGTAGGGTCTTCATACACTTACTGATTTCAATGGAATTTCCTTGTCTTTCATGGTTTGGGGGTTTCTTTTCTATCCCTTCCAAATACCTATTCTTAATGGAGACAGTAGATCTGCTGTAGGAAAGTATTGCTCTTCAGGAAGACACATTTCAAATCGTGTGAGATCTGAAATGCGCATCCCAGAAACTGCAGCTGACCAAGCAATTAAGGCTTCTGCCTGCCTGAGGTTGGGAAATCTCTACAGCCATGGGCAGGAGCCCAACTGAGTGTTCAGTTAGGTGCATATTGGGCATTTTAGTCCCATGCTGCCCTTTCCATATGTCTTTTTAAGTTTTAAAACTGATCAGAGTGCTATCTGGAAAATCTATGTGGCTTATTTTGCTTACCTTCAGGATCTACTTGTAAATTAAAGTCAGTCACTGTTTGAGGGACAAAATACCAATTCTTCCTCCTCTGACTGCAGGGAAAAAAAAATTCTCTGCAAATCTTCTGCTTTGAGCACTGAAAGGAAAGCAAAACTGGGCAGAATGCAGAGCAGGGCTCTCTGAGGGCCCCTATCAAGAAATCTGATGTATTTTCTTTCATTAAAATCATGAAAGACTCTGGTGCTGAGAGTAAATATATCCAATTCTCTTTAATACAGCTTCCCTAAGTTCTATGGAGCATTTTCAAAGACAAACTTCCTCTGTTGTAATTCTAAATAGTTTGTTATTACAACATCTGGAGGATACTCCTAGGGTTGGTTGTTATAAAGAGAGGTTTAGCTCACATGGTAAGATTGACTGTAGTTGCGAAGATAAGTCCTGGAACCTGGTCACAACTCATAACATTTGCCAGTCGGATGGTACACTATGACCCCAAGACTATGCAGTCTCTAGAGGAGGGTCCTCCCTGTCCCTTCTTGGCTCCTTTGTTGAGTGAAACAGTTAAACACAGCAGCAGAGTGACTGTTTCCGACCGACAGGAGGAGATGCAGCTTTCTCATGGACATTGCCTGTCCACAGACTCGGGCAGAAGTTGCTGTATCTGGTCACGGACTGGGAGAGTGGAGTCCATCTCACCCAGATTTAGTCCCGTAGCTGAGGGGTTCACGCTTGGCGCCTGCCCACGCGTGGCTCATCGAGGGTTGGAGAGGAGGTGGCTGTGCAGAGGCAGGAGGTCCCTGGCAGGGATGAGCTTCTGCTGTGGGGGCTCTTTCTCCCCAGGGGCTACCCAGTTCTGAAGATCAGGCAGCTGCTCTGGTGTATTGGGCACTTAGGTTAAATGTCAGGGGGGAAAAATCCAGGACATAGCACCTTATAGTGTGCAGAAGTTTTGCATGCCATGTTGCCATTAACAGAGTAGCAGTAGACTACCCTGTGCAGGATATACAGATTGATGTAGGGGCCAAATCCCAGCACTTGAGAGCAGAGTTATCTTGATTTTTTTTGGGCTGATGTGAAAGAAGCCTGTCTTGTTAGCAGCCTTTCACATTCCCATTCCTGTAGTGACCAGGTTGCTTGTTCCCTGCTTTTTTTCCCCGCAGCAGGAATAATTAATCAAATTTCCTATTGGCCTCTCCAAAAAGCAATGAAAAGGTGGAGCTCCATTTTGGAGTACAGGTATTTTGTTGAAACTGCACAGATATTTAAGCTATATATCAAATGACTGCAGAACTTAGGGTAAATTTAGTGTGTATTGTTTTTAGAATGGACCAGCATCCATGTATGCAAAGCTGTTGTTTCTTTGCCTGCCATAGCTATCAGGGGTAAATATTCAGATGTTTCTGTTAGCAGGATCCACAGATTCCAAGGTGCAGAGTAGATTCCAAGCTTAGCAGCATAAATATGCATTAATGTAGTTCATCTAACCACTTTACTCACAGTCACTGTAATTTATCTTTTATCTACTTTGCCTGTCTCATTCAGCAATATTTTGTAGCTGTGTCTGCCAGCAGGGCAGAACTGCCCGCTGCAGAATAATTAGAATAATTAGACAAAGCTGCAAACCATTTTCCTCAAACTGATACATTTTTCTCTGTGGTGATCAAATTTTGTCCATCTCTGGTCACTTTTCAGCCATGGCGCTGGATGCCTGCTCTTTGGTTCTGGTGCAGAGTTAGCTCTGAATAGCCTGCCTGGCATTTCCTACAGCTCCAGCGAGACCATATAATATTTGCTTCCTTCTCTTTGACCTGTCAATATATTCTTGATTGACATGTCAATTCAAGAACATTGTTGGAGTCTTGATACATACAAGATACAGAAATTCTGTTCCGTGCAGTGCTTTACAGGTGTGCCTATGCTCTGCAGGAGGCAAGAGTTGTGAAACACAGTAAGAAGTAGATACCTCATTATTTTTTTCAAACTCACTTAAAAGAAGTTAGTATTTCATAACAGTAAAGATGCAAACCAAACATTAAATTCCGGATATGGTACATGATGGCAGCAAAAATATAAATGCCAGGACTTACAAATCAATGAATAGCTGGTGCTCAGAGCAGGAGGTTGCTTTGAGGGGCGTGTGGAACAAAAGGCTCTTGCAACTCCAACTGTAGGTGTAGCTGCAGGCCTCTGCAGCTATCCCCTTAAACAGAAACGACACTGTAGAACTGATAATAGGTTTTGAATCAGAGCTTGGTCACAGTATGGAGACAAAAGGTGGTGCATCCTCAGGTCACTGAAGAAGCAATTGTAAGTTTAAGAAGCGGTAACAGCTCACATCTAGTCCTTCTACAGTTACTGCTGAGTGCATGGGAGATTAATTAACCTCCATGAGACTTATGTGAAACTGGTGGATAAGTATCATTATCTACCATTTACAGGTAGAAGGGGAATGAGAAGGAAAAATTACTTTTCTGAGATTTTATCTTAAGCTTTGAACAGGACTCACCACTGCAGCTTCCTGTCAGGTGCTCTTTCTTCATATGCCCAAAATTACATGAAAAATATAGTCTATTTTGTGTAAATATAAATATAATGTGTATGTATAGAAAATAAATATATACACATTGTATATATACTTACACATATATATAAACTTAATCACATACTGTATCAGTAGGATGCATATTAATAAGGTATACACTAAAGTCGCAAAAATAGTTTTCAAGTAGTCTTCACAAAAGGGATATTCAAGTAATGAGCACATGTAATAAATACTTATAACTGAATAATCTAAATATTACTGCATCAAGATAAGTGTATAAAGCATAGCACTCTGATTTTCAAAGTATGCTCAATGCCTTTCACTATTCTAAACAGGAATTCCACACAGAACAGCAGGCATGGGTAGAAAGCAGAGGGAAACCAAAGTGCAATCTTACGTAAATACATAAATAAATGATGATGATTAATAACTTGGCAGTCTCATGCAGGGCAAACATATTTTCAACACGACTATACAGTCTCATAGCAGCTGCTCTGACGACACACAAAGCTGTGTCAGTGTGCCAGCTCAGCCCAAGGTAGTCTCAAGTGGGATAGATGTAAGTCAGTGCCATTAGGGGGTCACTTATCTCAGGACTTCCTTTCAGATACGGTCTTCTAGTGTTAAGTTAGTCACCACGCTGAACACAGTGAGACATTCCTTTTAGCAAGCCTGTGACAGACTGTCTTCTCCAGACTGGGCCAGTCATGGCCTTTTGCACAAATCCATCTCCTCTTTCCATTCTCAAATCTCAGTACCTAGATTTTGGATGAATTTCAGGTTCGTGCCAGCTGACCCTGGGGCTGGAGACACCTGGACATTCAGCCCATGTCTGGCTAGAAGGCTTGTGCCGTGAAGTCCCCCTCCCTGAGGACTAACTACTGTTGCTGCAAAGTGATGTCCAGACAGGGGAGTCCCCTTCCCCCTGCTCTCACCAGCCAGGATGCAGGAAGGGAGGTGAAACGGCTGCTGCCCCAAAAGTACTTCCCAGGAGCTGAGGGGGCCCCCCCAGGGAGGGGCTGGATCGGGGACTGACCCAAGCTCTTGGGGCTGGTGGTCCAGGGTGACTCCCAGCCCCACTGTTCCCACTAGTTGGGGTTTGCCAGGGATAGAGCAAGCTCCAGTGGTCCACAGCAGGCCTGTGCATGGAGCTGGTGAGCAGTACGGGGAGCCAGGCACCCATTTTTCAGCTCACTCACTCCCAGATCTTTTCATTTAATTGTATGGGCAGATCAGATGCATTCGGTGGTCTCTGAGAAACATTAGAGAAGCATCTCTGTGTGCTGAGAATTAAGCTGAGAACCAGCCCACAGTGAAGCCCAGAAGTTTCCTCTCTGTTTTAGGCTTCGTCAGGAGTCTCTGGAAATCAGTGGGAAAACTCCTGTCAGCTTCCACAGGCTTTGCATCCACATTGCTGTGCATCTTTGCAAGTGTTGCTTGTCATGATATTTCTGTTTTTCTCAAAGGTTCTTTTTATTTACAGTGTGATGTCTTGGATCAGAATTTGTTAAATTTCCTCCCAGAACAAGAACATTCAGAAATTTATAAGATGTTATCTTCTTGTATGCTTATGACGGATTCTGCCTCATCGGACTACCTAAAAAGTAAGTTTTATTTATCTTCCCCAGTAAATGAAAAAGCATGGGCAGGATAAAAATTGTCTCCCAGGAAGAGTTTTTAATGGGATGTGCAATATAAAATTAGGTTCATAGCCTTTTAAAAAGATCTTGCCACCTGGAATGACCCTTTGGTTCTACTTTTAAATGAAACTCATTGCCTTTATTTTACTAGGCTAAGACTACTTGCAGTTATGTTAATTATTAAATATTGTATCTTTTGAGACAGCTAAGGAAAATAGGTTAGCTGATGGAAACTGAGAGTTCACCTGAGACAAATCACATCTTAATTGATATTTCAGCCTGTTCAAGTAAGATGCTGTTCAGAGATATGCTAATGTCGCATACCTTTGGTTTGCATTTTAGTTGAAAAGTATCCGTAAAATCATTGTCATTCTTTTTCAGATTGAATATTGTTTTTCTTAAAAACACTTACTCACCTCACCCTTATTGACTCTAGGACGTAAGACATAGTAAACCAGAAAACACACGATAATGTAAGACATACAGCTGCTTAATCTATAGTATATACAAAACTTGCAGCTGATAGCTAGTACGGCAAAGTTAATTTAATAGATATTTTGAGGTAATTAGGCATAGTTTTCCAACATAAGATGTAGGACAGCTGTGAGTTATGAAAAACCTAAATAGAAAAAAAGCTATAAATGAAGGATCCAATTCTCCTTTGCTACACTGATGCTATGGCAGTGTAACTCCTGCGATGAAGGTGGTGTAAGAGAAGGGTAAGTTAGTCTCGAAGGCTGTCCCTGAGCTGCAGGCAGACCTGTGCACAGCCCTGAACAACCTGCATCCCTGCAAGGCGACACCTTGCAGATCCTTGATCCTGCAAGGTGTAGCACATCAGTGTATAGGACTCTGAGTGGTAACAAGCTGCTCTCGTGCTGGCAGTTGCAAGATTGGGGTTGGAAGACACCATTGGTTGTGTTTAGCTTAAATAGTATATTTATTTCTTCTTCTTCTTCTTTTAACAATCCAGCTGACAATGAACTAGAGTTTTATTGTCATCTTCTGAGAGGAAGTTTGAACCCAAAGGAATTTCCAACATATGAATACATAAAATTTGTAGGAAATTTTCGGTCTTACAGCAATGGTAAGCTTTAATTGTTGTATAAATGTTACTTCAGCTGTGTAAAATAAAATATAAGTATTGCTCCATTGAACAAGACAGGCTTTCAACTGAAAGGACTATTTTTAACATTATGGGGTAAATTTTGCTTCACATGGATCTCGCTGCTGATCTGCAATAGCTGGATGAATACCTATGAAGAGTGAAATTGGGTTAGTTGCTTTTGTTACTGCCCTTCATATGTTAGCAGTGATCCTGGACTCTGGGTAAGTTTACAAATAATAACAGGTTCAGAGGAGGGTTTGTTTGAGCTTACTAATACTGTGTGCTAAGACTATCTATTAGCTAAATAATAAGCTTGCTACTTTATCTGCTGTCTTACACTAAACACAAATTCTGTGCCTGAACTGATAATCTGCCAAATCTGCCCTCTCGCTCTTCTCTGCAATATTTTGGGGAAAGGCAGCAGCACCACGTAATTGAGTGCATGCACCCCCTGCCCTTCACTGCAGTGAGGGGTCCCCTGCCGCTGGCATCAGAGTAGCTTCCCTCTCCAGCTGCCATTTTACATTCCTCTCCAGCACTGCAGAACCCAGTAATCCCCCCCCTCCCCAAAAAAGGGAAAGAAATACAGTCAGCATAGTCACTGATGCACCACAGTCAGTCTAGGGAAACCATCTTTCAAGGGATGAAGAGCAGATTTCCACCTCAGCCGTTCCCCACGGGCACAGCCATTACTGTCAGAAATGAAATACTCTTTTATTACTTTCCTTCTCCTGCCTGCCCAAGTTTGCTTTAGTTACTTGCCTGATTGAACTCCAGAGTGGCATTTCCAAAGTTGCTGGTATTGTTCCAAATAGGTCATCCTCAGCAAAAAAATTCCCCACCGTGCTTTCCAAAAACCGCACGCCACACTGCAAAAAAAATTGTCCCTGTCCCCGTTTAACTTTCTGCTCTTGCTCCACATGACTAGAATAGAAACCTGCATGCAGGATGGAGATATGTATTTCTTGTTTGGTGCCATCTGATTTGAGGCTTTATTTGTATAAAAAATGTAGCTGCCTGTATGCTTTCTAGTTTGAATGAAGTGAAATGCGGCTGCCTGACAGACGCACACACCAAGCTGTTCTGTTTTCTAGAGCAGAAACCGGATTTCAGGTGCTGACTCATACAGATACATTTCTACCAGGGGAATTTCTGATCCATTTTCTTCAAGGATTTTCAGCCTTTTATTTTGGCATGACCTTAATATTGCCCTCTTACCCATAAGGATTTCATATCCCAGCATTTGTATCAGTGGCTATTTCTCAGAAGAAAGATAAAACTTGAATTACAGATATCTTCCCTAGCTTAATGCATATAAACTAAATGGGAACATATTGATTTCAGAAGACACAAAATCATTTTCCAAAGACCCCAGCTTACAGCTTTCAAGTAGGACATGCTTTCTACTTCAATATTTTTATTTTTTCTAATTTGTGCCACCTTTTTCTAAGTCTTCCACTTTATTTTGTCTCTTCTGCTTTCTTCCTGTCTCTGCTGCAGTCTGACCCTCTAGTTAATGATGGGATGATTCTAGATTCTAGATAATGAAGGGATGGCCCTTGCCCCCACGCTGTGAGATGGTGCCTCCTGGCCCCCTTCCCCTCTCCCCATCGCAGAATGGCAGCTTGCCCATCCTGACTTTACTTTTCCCAGTTCAGTGCAGAGCCTGGTAGAAATATTTGCTTCAACAGTGCATCCCCGGCACTGCTCCCCCTTGGCTCCCCGTGGTCCCCTCTGCCCACTACCCCGGCTCCTAATCCAGCCACAAAACCACCTCCCAGCAAAGGTGAAAGCAAGTGCACTGGACTTGCGATGTAGCAGCAGCAAACTCTGCTTGGGAGCTGATAACCTTGGGCCAAGGACAGAGAAAGCAGCTGGAGGAGGGTGCAAACCTCTGAAGTGGCTGTCATTACCTCCACTGGGCTTCTTACGTCAGCCAGCTGCACCCTGAGCAAGGCATGGGGGGCATCAGATCAAGCAAGCACTGTGTGAATGCAGCCCCCCTTTGGGTAGCTTTCCAGCCCCGGAGCTGGGGGCGAGCAGCTGTGCTTTGGCATGGGGACTTGCAGCACGGACACCTTTGAGCATCTGATGGGCACAGTGGTGGGCTGCATTCCCACCTCTGCTTGGCCCTCCACACCTCAGGGTGCCCCATTATTGGGCACCATCCCCCCAGCCCACACACCCCAGGGTTGCTACCTGCCAGACCTGCCAGTAATTGCTCCCTTCTTCCATTAAATAAATACTCGTTCTCCAGCCAACTCCCCTCCAGGTGTGACGCCAAGCAGGCAAGAAAGACAGTGGTGGGGAGGGGGG